CTCTAACTTAACTTTTCCATGTCATTCATCTGATGATGGACGTCTCATGATATTTATTTTAGCACAACTGGGCTGTATTAGGCTTGATTCCCGTGATCTTGCTTATAAATTCCGATTCAGCCATTAGCCTACCTTCGTGATCACGCAAAGAGGTCTGCAGTGAAGTCCATTCAGAATTCCAACCAACACAAAATATAAATAATTACGCTGTGCATGTACAAATGATTGATTTAGGAGGGAAATAGACTGCTCCCATAACGTAGAAAGCAACGATATACAGCAATGTTCGGTAAATATTCAACCGAAAAATATTCTTCATAAAATTAAACCGGAGAGATAGTTAAAGGAACACTCCGACTTTTTGGGACTTTAGCCTATTCACCTTATCCCCCAGAGTTAGATAAGTCCATACATACCTTTTTCATCTCTGTGCGTGCTATAAGTCTGTTTGACGCACCCACCGCTAGCCTAGCTTAGCACAAAGACTGGATGTAAATGGTTGCAGCTAGCATACTAATCCAAATAAGTGACAAAATAATGCAAACATTTTCCTATTTACATGTTGTGATTTGTATAGTCACAGAGTGTACAAAAAACAAAGTCACATGAGACACAGACATATTTTAACCGTATAAATACTGGGAACTATATTCTCTGAAGGCGAAGCACTGCTACTTGGGCGGAGTGATAACCGCAGCACCTGAGACGAGCCGTGGTGAGGAGCAGAGAGCGCGTCTCAGGTGCTGCGGTTATCTTTCCGCCCAAGTAGCAGTGCTTCGCCTTCAGAGAATATAGTTCCCAGTATTTATACGGTTAAAATATGTCTGTGTCTCATGTGACTTTGTTTTTTGTACACTCTGTGACTATACAAATCACAACATGTAAATAGGAAAATGTTTGCGTTATTTTGTCACTTATTTGGATTAGTATGCTAGCTGCAACCATTTACATCCAGTCTTTGTGCTAAGCTAGGCTAGCGGTGGGTGCGTCAAACAGACTTATAGCACGCACGGAGATGAAAAAGGTATGTATGGACTTATCTAACTCTGGGGGATAAGGTGAATAGGCTAAAGTCCCAAAAAGTCGGAGTGTTCCTTTAATGAGTGAATTAACTATGTTCCTAAATACATATAAGCACATGCATAACCCTCCCTAACCCATTTAAATAAATGAATTGTGTGTGTGTGTGTATATAATATTATATATAGGTTATATATATATATATATATACATATAAAATATTATTAAAAATATTATATATTATATACATCAGGTTACCAGTTAGCTAACGTTAGTGAAGTGTTGGTCACGTAAGCTATCGCTGCAATTAACCTATTATCTTCCAATAAACATTTACTAAAACTGGCTACATTAAATATAACTACATACTAGATTCACGAGAGGTCGGCTAATGTGTGTAAAAGTAAAAAAATACAGTAATTTCATTAATTTACCAGCGAACGTACTTCTGAAGCACTGAAAATGAATGGGGTTCAATGGAGAAACTATCAGTGTTTGGAACTATTGGCTGCTCCACGACACGCGTTACTTCCGCATTCCAAAGTTCCTATGGCGGTCTATGGGAGTGTCGCAACTCTTTCTCTCTATGGCTCTGGGTAGGTTTAGGTCTGGGGTAGTGTTAGGGTTAGACCACTAGGAGGCGCCATATATCTGCGTCTCATATTGACGCTAAAGGGTGCCATGTGTGCTAACCCACCGAACCCTTGTATGAAATATGGAGTTCAAGCTGGCTTGACGAAAACCAAAAAAGAAAAAAAGGAGCAGAAATCAAATATAACAAAGAAAAATCACGGAAGAAATTAAGAAACAAACTAAGAGTGATATGAGAGAACAAGCTCATTAAGAGAAAACAAAGGCAAAGAACACCAAATATGATGTTTAATTGTTCAAATTAAATGAACAATTATTCTAGTCCATGTGGCTATAGAGAGTGAAGAATACAATCTGATTGAATAGAAGTCAAGTAGGAGAATAAGAGAAAAAAAAATCTAACTATTTCTTGAGCGTGTCTGAAGAAAAGATGAAATAAAAGGGGTGGGTTAACATGTCAGACACCCACAGTTTCACACAGTAGTAACAATCAACCTCACAAATGTTGCTGAAAGCCTCAGTGTGCTCCTGAATTAGCTATCATTAGTGAATCAAAAGAGCCGTTTAGTGGAGTATATTTGCTTTGTTTGATGCACAGTGCTGGATATAGTTTGTAGCTTTTATTAAATGATACAAATACATAGAATATGTCACATTGAGATGGCCTGCAAAGGCTGAAAATCTGTTCTCAAAAAAAAGAAAAAAAAAAGAAGCAGAAATGCAGAATATATATGCAAGACAAATCGTGGAAGGAATTAGAACAGTTTCTTCTTTTCAGTGACGTTATTATAAACTAACCAACATGTGAATTAGACATGGACTTTGACATGTTGTCCTCTTCATTTGTGTATTATACATATATTTATTTATTTTAACAACATGTTCTTCCCTATACTCATCCTGTTTGTATTTTTAAAAAAACTAGTGGCATTGTATATGGTGTATTTTAAATTATGCTGCACTGTACATTGTGTATACAAAACAAATACTTCATAAGTAATCATATATGGCCTATAAACTTAAATGTAACATAGTAGTCTATGATTTAAAGGTGCAGTAAGCGATTTCTGAGAAACACTGTTGAAAGTGGATCAGACCGAGCACCACAACACACTTGTAGCCAATCAGCAGTAGGGGGCGTGTCCACTGATGATTGGGGAGGACAGAGAGTGAGCAAGAGAGAGATTTGAAGAAAGACTGTAGAAAAAGAGATGGCTGAGAGACATTGCAAAAGAGAAAAGGTCAGAGGAATATCACTGGGAAAAAAGAATGGTTATGATCAGGCAAGAGCTTTATAGGATCCACGTTAAAGGAGAACTCCGGCGCAAAATGAACCTTTGGTCTAATTACACATTGTTACCTAGTCAACCGTTATCTGAGATTTGTTTTCATGATTATCGAATGTAAATAGTTTTATCTCTAAAAACAGTTTAGCCTATAAAGCTAGTATAACGCTAGTATATTGGGCATAGATCAATGACAAATAAAAATCGCTTGTTAATACCACTAACAAGGCTCAAAATAGCCCCACACTAGCACGGTAGCATAATGAGGGTCCCTACCTTCAAACCGAAGCATTGAGAACTTTGTCAGTGTCCAGACAGTTTAATAAGAAGATATTTTATACATACAGTCAACTTCGCGTATACAGACAGAAGCCATCTTTGAAAAAGAGTCTCTACCAGTCAATCTAAGAACGCCGATCCAAGTGCGCTTTTTCAAAGATGGCTTCTGCCTGTATACGCGAAGTTGACTGTATGTAAAAAATATCTTCTTATTAAACTGTCTGGACACTGACAAAGTTCTCAATGCTTCGGTTTGAAGGTGAAAACAAATCTCAGATAACGGTTGACTGTAACAATGTGTAATTAGACCAAAGGTTCATTTTGCGCCGGAGTTCTCCTTTAATATTAGAAAAGCTTTCCAGCGCTCGATAGACCTAAGCGGGAAGGCCTGAAAACGGTTGCTGAGGTTGTGTAGTTTCTGCTCCATAAGTTATGTTTCACAGAATCAAGATATGCAGTTGTCATAGCTATTGTAACAGGACAGGTTTGAGTGTCATTGTTTGTCTTGGGCTGTTGTGCTGCTGGTGACAACCCATTCTTTCTTGCATATATTCTTGTGTAGTGTGTTTATTTTTTGTTCTTCTTTGTCATTCATTCGTAATCTTCGATTTATTTTTTATGAAGCATTATTTTGCTTCGTTTTAACTATCAAGAGACATCCAGTCTTGCATTGTGTGTTCAACAGAGCAATGAAGGGAAGGGTGTGTTTGTTTGGTTTGATATCAAATATCAACAGTGTTTCTCAGAAATCTCTTACTGCAGCTTTTCAATCCTTATTTGCAATACTTCAGTGTCCTACTAGAGGGTGCATGCTTCAGTTTCAGAAATTCCCTACAGTCCAAGCAAATTACGATACTTTTGGTAACATTAGGTAATGTCATAAAGCATTCAGGTGCCATGCAAAAACTATATCATTATATATTTACATAATATAATTTATTATATATTTATTCATGGAACTTTTACCTGCTGAAACAGCTTAAAGTACTTGGTCTTTTATGTCTCATTATACTGTAGATACTGTATGAAGTTCACTAGTTATTCTCCTGGCTGCATGCAGAAGTAAGCAGACCTAAGGAACAAAGAAAAGAAAGCCCATTGATAGTATATAATAAAGATATGGATGTATTTTTGTATTCAATATGGAAGCCCTTGTTCTCTAAGTATTCACATCTTTCTTTATACTTTTCAAATGTCACAAATGTCAAAGCTGTTATTACTCTTTGAGGTGGACTACAGCGGATTCATCTGCTCTCTGGAGTCTTGTTCTTCCTCTTGTGCCAATTGACTCTGATGCCATTCTTTAGGAAGGAAAGAGAGATGTCATTTTAAACAAAATCACTAGGCTTTGGATAATTTTTAAGTGCCCAGCCAACATTTTAACCTAAAAGGATTTTGGCTTGAATATGCTGTCAATATGGCATGAGCCTATTTACTGAATCGATTGAAAACATTCACAAGGTACTAATTAGTTTGTAAGAGACATGAACATGGAATTTGGTTCATTTATTGAGGGTTTTACTTACTCCGTATATGGATTTGCATGTGTTGTGTCAAAATCTAACCCATCATTTGACTCTATAAGGTGGATTAGAGTTGTTTCCTCTGGTCGCTGGAGTGGTGCAGTTTCTGACGTCCTGATTGAATCTGTTTTCCTTTCAAAATAGAAAAGAGGTGTAATTTCACAATGCCTGCTAGACTTTGGGTAATTTCAAAGGCCTTCTTATTTGCAACTAACAATGTTTTATATGATCAAAAATTCAGCTCAGTCACAATTATTAATTTTTTTATGAAAAAAATTAAAAGCATTTTATAACAAGCAATTTACTTTGCTACTCTGTCCACTTTAGAACTGGCGACTGCCGTCTCAGGTCTGGCCCATATTTCAATTGGGCGAACAATCATTTTCAGTTTCTGAACCCATCTCTCTGTCGGGTCAGCACAGATCTCCCTTTGATCTTTTGTGATGAAACTGCATTTTTAAAGAGAAGATTGTTCACAATTTCACATAAATGATTCACAATTGCGATTCATTTTAAAGTTACTTACATGATACCCCTCCTGTGACACTCAGGATGTGTGAAATGATAACTCACAACCTGCTTTACTGGGATTCTTACATTGGAAAAAGAAAAGCAGCACTTATCGGGAAATCCGAAGACTGCAGAAATTATATAAATGAAAAATACAATGTAATTAACATTGTGTTCAAAATGTTCAATATAAAACATGAATGATATACATTTAATGATCAAGAAAATGTCTCATAAATATATATAACATTGTTAGCAGTTGATTATCTAGACATTCCCAAAGAAAAATAAAGAAATAAAGAAAAAGATGCATATTCACTGTGAGCCAGTGGGCAGAAAGTGAAGAGCACAAGACAGATGAAGTTACAGCGTGGCCTCATGTTCAGGTCTTTGGTCAGTCGATGGTCAGATTTTGATGTGCAGCTGCTATGTCGTCTTGTGTATGATCACCTCACTATACAAACATGTTGTGTCTAAAATAAGTGACACGCACAGAGGAAAACCACGATGTGGTCTGCAGAGGACTTCCTGTTGTAGCTCTTCCTAATGCTGTGAATGTCTTTAAATTTATGAACACTTACACATACTGTGTGCATTTTCAGGTGAAATGCATGGTGGAAATTGAATCTGTGGCTCAATGCAGGGAATGTTGAGCTCTATTGATCAAAAAGCGGTTGAAGTGTTTAGTAGCCCAGCTCCTCTGCACTTAAACACAATCTTTTATCACACTATTATAATTTCCCACTCCTTTGTAAGTTTATCCTTATTTAAGTTTAAAAGAATTGGGTTAAATGAGAGCTAGATGCCATATTTTGTTAGAGTAGGTTTATATTTAGAGTAGAGTAAACTAAAAAATACTATCAAACAGGGGAACTTTGTACAATTGACTACTTGATCGCCAAATTCCAAATCACAAAAAAGTTTTTTTTTTAAATGCCAAAAAAAGAAGAATTTTTTTCCTTATTGTCTTTTTCAAGAAACATTTTCACTACACTCCTCACAATCCAAACAACTAGAATGTGCCAACGAAGACCCATAAAGCATTAAAAGCCCATATTGTCATTTAATAGCAAAATAACATATACAAGTTAACATTTGCTCTGATAAATATAATGGATCAAATTCAAGGAAAAGATATTCTCATCAGGTTAAACATTTGCTCTGGTGAATTATTATTAGGGCCCAAGCCTTGAAAAGGCGAAGGCCCTATTGTTTTCCTTAGGATTATTATTATTAGGGCCCAAGCCCAAAGGGCGAAGGCCCTATTGTTTTCCTTAGGATTATTAGGGCCCAAGCCCAAAGGGCGAAGGCCCTATTGTTTTCCTTAGGATTATTATTATTATTATTATTATTTTATCGACTATTCGGGCACTTTTGGGGCTCTTAACGTGCACGAAAACTCTTGAAACTTTGCACACTGGTCAGAACCCGCGGCCATCAGGGCCGGGCTGAAGCTGGTACCCGGGCGTGGCAGGGGGGCTCGACAGCGCCCCCTGGAACGGGGTCCGAAAACTTGGTCCATAAATCAAACACGCTTCCATGTAATAATATGAAACTCGGTACACATATAGATCTCATCGGTTCATATATCCTTTGTACTTTTACTTTTTACCCCAGCCCAACAGGAAGTCGGCTATTATGGTTTGTTTGGAAGCGTATGCCCCTGGAATTCGATATACTCCTCCTAGAGAATTCAACCAATCGTAAGGAAACTCGGTCAGCATGATGTCAAGACATTGAGGATGAAAAATTGCCAGGGGATTTTTGATATCTCGAACGGTTTGGCCGTGGCGAGGAAACGAATTTATGGCGAATAATGGAAACAGGAAGTGTGTTATAACTTCTGCATACATTAACTGATCTTGATGAAACTTCAACAGTGTGTTCGCTGTAAGAGGCCGATCACATGGATGTGACTATTGTGAGTCAAAGTTATAGCGCCACCAACTGGCAGCAGGAAGTGTGTCACTTTCTAAATGCTTTTGACAAAAGTGGGGGGGTTAGTTTTATCTACAGTAACAAAACTCGATATGTATATTGTACTCTTCGAGCCGGACAACTTTCTAATTTACCGTAATTAGCTACGACCAACAGGAAGTCAGATATTTTGGTTTGAATGTGGATTTCAGATTCTGAGTTTTTAGCTACTCCTCCTAAGTAGTTTATTTTATTCATGCCAAACTTTTTCAACATGATGAAAATACATTGAAGATGCTAAATTGTGAACAGATATTGAATATCTCAAACGGTTTTGCTATGGTTGAGGGATTCAAGTAATGTCAAAAAAAGAATCAGGGCATGTCTCATATCTTTCTAAAATGTAATTATACACCATTTATTTTTATATAAAATTATACAAATATTAGAACTAAACCCATTTTATTCCTTTTTTTCAATTTAAGAATTATTTTTAAGTTTAAAAACAGCCAGAATGGTTGTTTAGTCAAAAATAATAATAATCCAAATCATATATAGTGCTATACTGCCCTCTTGTGTTCAAAATCAGGTAGGCCTATTGAATTTATATATATTTATATATTAGGGATGTTACTATGGGAATATTTTCCCACCGGTTAATCAACGTGTGATTGTGCAAACCAATTGTGTAAACCTCCCGCTGGGGGGTTTAAAAACACTAACTTGAAAGCGAAAGTATAATATGGACGTCCGCACGGACATTGAAATGGTGGCGCTCGAATGAATTCCTATGGAAGTAGAAATTAACTAAACGTTCGCTCTGTTCTGCTCGCTCGTCGCCATGGACGCGCACCGTTATGAATGCCAGTGCAGCCGCATACTTTTTAGTGTCACTAAAATTAGTGCAATTTCGGGGGCCGATTGCTTGAATTGTGAGTTCAATAGTCTATTATTTTTCATGGAAAACACAACAATAAAAGAGTACAATGACAGATTCGCTTAAATAGGCGTTTTTACATAAAATAGCCTATTCCGTCATCATCTTTTCAGTCAGCTCTTCACTCTCGTGATTAATGAAATTTGACTCCTGTTGCTGATATTTGCTGCAACTTTCGTTCAGCTCACAATTTAGTAAGCAAACACGTTTCAAATGTGTTTTTATTTTATTTTAGTGTATGTGTGTGTATATGTATGTATATATATAAATATAGCTTATGTTTCAAATATGAGTTAATTAACAATCGTTGGAAAGAATGATACTTTTAAACATAACACTAAACCGTCATTAGGTGTCGCCAGGCGACCGTCTTAATGAGCGAGTCATTGATTCATTCGTTTGAACGACTGAGTCATTCATGAATGAGATAGATGTTTATGGATTGATTGGTCATTGAATCTTTGAGTCAACCGATTCGTTCAAAATGCTGAATCATTCAGTAATGAGAACGCGTTGCTGTGAGATGCGCAATGGTTCTGCTGTGATCTTTGTTTAACTATTTTCGCTGCTGAAACAGAAAAAAAGTCAATATTGCATCTAAAATGTAAGTGATTTGACTTGTGTGTGTGTGTGATTGTGTGTGTGATTGTGTCTGTTACAGTGATAAGAGTTTAACCCTTGTTAAACTTTAGGCCTTGTCTTTTTGGATATATATCTTTTTATATTAAAAAATAGTCATACAACCCATATATTTTAAATGTATTGTTTGCTTTAAATTACATTAAGATTGTATGTTTGGTAATCGAACCTGAATGAATTATAAATGAATGTGCTACATTTCAGATCATATATTTGTTTTCCTTAAAATTTGAACTAACACTAACTTTATTCTCATCTGAATGATAGATTATTTATTTCTGTATAAAATAAAAACACCTTTGATTTTTCTTTTTTAATCAATGTAGAATGTGTAACTGAAAAAATAAACAGATTAGGGCTCTGTTTGATGACAAGAAATGAAAACCAATGCGATATGATGAATGTCCAAAAGATGGCTCCCACAGACTGTTTTTAAATAGGATTGTTTGATATTTTTTGCTTTTAAACTGTGTGTGTGTGTGTGTGTGTGTGTAAGAGATTTTGGTTGGGTGACAGTTGTAGTTTACAGTTTGACAAGAGTTTATAGTTTGACAAAAGCACAATGTTGTGTTTTATTGCGAGTGTACACAAATATAAGTAAACACTTTGCAGTTTGAATAATGTCCTGTATGAACAAAAGGACGGAGTATGTCTTTATGTCTACAATGTTCAATTACGCCACACACACACACACACACACACACACACACAAACACTATTTTTCTAATCATATCAGGCAAGTAATATTCTGTCTTGTCTCTTAAAAAAACAATATATATATATTTATGTATATATATATATATATATATATATATATATATGTGTGTGTGTGTGTGTGTGTGTATATATATATATAAATATAGCTGCGAGCAGCGATGAAAGGGCCAAAGCCGGCGGCACCGCCACCCCGGTTATAGCGCCACCAACTGGAGCAGGAAGTCTGTCACTTTCAAAAAGCTTTGAAATCACCTGATTGCTTCAAACTTCACTACTATGATGTAAACACACGGCAGATGTAGACCTGGATGTAGACCTGACCTTTCAGAAGGTTGCTCTCGCATACTTTGTGGTTGACATGTGCCCTCAATGCACACTTTTGCAGAGCCCACACTGATACAAGCTCTACAGCACACTTCTTTTCGACAGTCAAAGCAGGGTTACGTTTTTGCACGTCGTGCACAATAACCCTAAAGGCACCAGGGTGGCGGTGCCACCGGCTTTATATATATATATATATATATATATATATAAATATAGCTGCGAGCAGCGATGAAGGGCCAAAGCCGGTGGTACCGCCACCCCGGTGCCTTTAGGTAACTAAAGGCACCGGGGGTTGCGGTGCCACCGGCTTGGGCCCGTAATCGCTGCTCGCAGCTATATTTTTTTTTTTTTTTTTCTTTTATTTTTCTTACGACTATTCGGGCACTTTTGGGGCTCTTAACGTGCACGAAAACTCTTGAAACTTTGCACACGGGTCAGAACCCGCGGCCATCAGGGCCGGGCTGAAGATGGTACCCGGGCGTGGCAGGGGGGCTCGACAGCGCCCCCTGGAACGGGGTCCGAAAACTTGGTCCATAAATCAAACACGCTTGCATGTAAGAATATGAAACTCGGTACACATATAGATCTCATCGGTTCATATATACTTCATGCTCTTACTTTTTACCCCAGCCCAACAGGAAGTCGGCTATTTAGGGTTGTTTGTAAAACGCATGCAATGGAATTTAAAGTACTTCTCCTAGAGAATTCAAAGAAATGCTACGAAACTCGGTCAGCATGAAGTCAAGACATTGAGGATGAAAAATTGCCAGCGGATTTTTGATATCTCGAACGGTTTGGCCGTGGCGAGGAAATGAAATTATGGCGAGAAACGTGAAACAGGAAGTGTGTTATAACTTCAGCATACATTAACTGATCTTAATGAAAC